TCGTTGTCAAAAGATACTAACAGTGACATGAGACTTTGATCAAAATGGACGAATCAAAGTAAAAGTTCAAAAAGTGGGAATAAAGACGATAACAAGTTGCTCAATCACATGCTATTCACATATATTTCTCACATGTTAGAATTTATGACGTCTAGATTCAATTCTAATCCCATCAAATAGAAAACAAAATTTCTCCTTCTAAAAGATTTAAAGTAAATAGTCTCGAAATTCTCCACATTTCAAACAAAAATATTGTGACAACTGAAATATAGGTTTTTGGTACGAGAACTAATCTAATTTCCTAACCGGTATTGGTTAACTGGTTAGTCCCCGAAATTAAAGTAGTTTTGACAAGGAATATGGAACATTTGAAAGCAAGATGGCTACGAGAATCAGCCATCCTTCTGGCTTCGAACATACTTTACTTTTGCAAAAGAGGGTCAAATGTGAAAATTTTAACAAATTAATTATTGAAAAAGATCAAATGCAACACCAAGTAGGTCACGGAGATGCACATATATTTTATACATATATGACTGTTTATTCCACATCTTAGTAGATCGAATCCATATAATATACAGTCATCGTAAAGGTCCCCCACTAGGTGTTGTTTTCTTTTTTGTTGGAAAGCAGATGATTTAATAAGGGAATATATCACAAAAATCAAAATATAAACCCATATCTTCATTATATGTATAAATATATCTTATCACCTATCCATTTGTAAAGTATATTTTATTGGTTCATTTGATCCGATAATCAAACCCAAAATGTGTCTTCACACCTTTGTAAATGTGTGAAGAACTATCTGACAAGGAAATGAATCTTTTTATTTATTTTTAAAGTACTTCTTTCAATTTGTGGGGTTTAGAGATATACCAAGTTGCTAAAGAATGACCCACTAAAACCTAAATTGGTGAAGAACTTGCTAATAAGGACATGAATCTTTTTTGTTTTTAATTACAGTTTTCGTTGTTGGGATTTAAAAGCCATACCATATCTTCAAACAAAGAGAACCACTAAACCCTAGTTTGGTGAAGAAATGGTAATAAGGAAATGAATATTTTTAATAGCTTTTATTTATTTATTTTTGCATGTAGAAGAGGAAATACGACAAAGCATCAAGAAAAGCATATTAGACATAGACACTGTCGATAAAGGCTTTCGGGTTTTTTCATCTTTAAGTTTTGATCTCCGATCCACATGCTTCGCACGTGTGAGATATATATAAAAGAGAGAAAAGCTTTTCTGAAAGAAAGGCTTTATGCATGTTCATGTTTACGTCATCGTTTCTTTGTTGACATTTCGGAATTATCTTAACACTGTAACTCACTAACTTCTTTAAATCCAAAACATTTATGACATGTTCTATTTCTTGGAAAATTTAAAGAAGAAAAGTATCACCCTTTTTGCGTCAGAAAGTATAATTTGGGAAAAAGATATTTTACTCGAAGAAGATAGTTAATTTTTGTGAAGAACTTAAATCTTCAAAAAAAATATTAAAAAGCCAGAAATTATTTTTAAAATATGTACAAAATTATTTTTAACATTAGCAATTATTACTGAAAATAGCACCAACTTTTCCGAAATTCTCACAAAAATAACGATGAATTAGGAATATATCAATTCTAAGAATTATCAAAAGTTATTAAGAAAATGTTAATGTTAGAATGCCTTAGAGCAAAAAAAAAAAAAAATGTTAATGTTAGTTCCAATAAATAAAGAAAAATAAAAAAATCCTAACGTTAGAAAAATAATTGAATAAAGAAAAAGGGCAAAATCGTATTAAGAAAGATGCTAGTTTTGGTGGATGAGACATTACTAGAGTAGATAACATTATTATAATACCTTGGATCGCCGAAAACTCCGGCGTTGACCGTTAACTGGTCAATGATCGCGGCGGCTTTAGCCTGAACACTGGTGGCTCTGGCGAATGCTGGACTAACTCCGTCACCTGACGGCACAAAAAAAGCTCCGTTAACCATAACGTCTCCGTCCGTCCTCCAGTTCCATTTCGACCAGTGTTTCTCGTTTGTGTCCACGCGCTTCGTCACCTACATACATCACAAATAATGTAACCGGCGCGTGAGATTACGCGCTAGTGGGTTATATTGTGGACACATCAGCAAAGAAAGCTCACTGGTCCCACCAATACATATCCTGTTTTTAATCTTTAGCATAATTTGAAAAATCTACCAAAATTGGTAAAATCCTTTTAAATTTCAAGTCTTCAAAGTTTTTAAAAATCACGAAAAAAATTCATGTTATGTTATGCATACCTCTTTGGCATTGGGATCAATAGGTGCGGTGTAACGATTACCCTGACTATTAATCGTAGGGTTCGCGCTTCCGCCAATCGCGTACATTTCCCATGCCGTGAAATCGTTGTTCACCACGTGGATATAACCGTGCCTACACCGCGGCATCCTCTGCACAAGCCCTTCCCCGAAATGGTTGAATGCAATTGTCACCTGCATTCCCGAATCCGCCGTGTACCTGATCAAAAGCCGAAAAGTCGGGTTAAATTGATAAATTTAAAAGCTTAATGCTTTAGTTGAAATATTGATGAAGTTAAGGGGCTTCTGTTGGAAAAAGTTGAAATATATTTTTACCCGTCGTCGTGACCTAAGAGCATAACCTCGTCGTGTTGATAGAAATAGTTATTGGAGATTGTGACTGCAGTGGAAGCAAGTATGACGTCGATGAGACCGTCCGTACAGTATCCCAGAGAACAGTGATCGACCCAAATGTGATGCGAAGCAGAGATAGAGATTCCGTCACCGTCTGAGACTCCTCTGAATCCGACATGTGTCGGAGACGAAGCGACCAAAGTGTTGCCGGAAGGTTTACAGTGATGAATGTGGACGTTGTGGATGATGACGTGGCTCACTTGCTGGATCGTTAAGCAACCATGGCCTGTGATTTGGATATTGGTTCCTCGTCCATCGATTGTTTTGTAGCTTCCGATGATAAGCTCGTGTTTGAGTTTGATTTCCATGTCGCCGGAGAAGACGATCCAGAGTGGTTCTTGCTGGATCACGGCGTGACGGAGTGTTCCCGGAATTGGGTTCGCCGCGTCGTTGTCGGAGGAATCGGTGACGAGGTAAAAGCGACCGCCTTTACCTCCTAGTGTTCCTTGTCCGAATCCGATTGAGCAATCGGCTAAACGTTGACGACTTTCCGACCAGTTTGGATCGCATCGCCAACAATCGTCGATTGGGTTTCCGGTGATGCAAGAAGGCATTGGCGTCGACGTGACGTCGTCTTGTTGGTAAGTGAGAAGGTTTCTTCTTGAGAGAGAATCGTTGAGTTTTCTGCATTGATATAAAAACAGAGTAAATGTTAAAATGCTCTGTTTTTGAAATGCAAAAAAAAAAACGAGGATTTTTACTCTAAAGTCTCAATTTTGTTTTTAAAAAAGTTGGAATACTTTAGAATTTGAGAAAAACCCAGAAGATAGAACAATGAAATGAATCAAATTTCATAAACGAAATTGAAAAAAGGAAGAAATCTTTTACCTTTGAACATTAAGAACAACATGTTCAGGGAATGGGTGTTGATGTGGGATAGAAAGATTGAAGAAAGATCTTGAGGTTGAAGGAGATGATCTTCCATGGTGAGAGAGAGAAACCAAGAGACAAAACCAGATAATGCAAATGCATGTTGGTTTATAAGCCACCATTATAAATCTCTCTCCTCGTATCTCTTCTGAAAAAGACCAGAAAATATCAGAAACCGAAGTTTTCTTAAATATGGGTTTATCGGGAATTGTGCAAATTGGATTATATAATTAATATTATATAATTAATAATATAACAAAGGGTCAAAAGAATTTCTATTTGTGTTTCCTTCCTATCTCTCTATAATTTGTTTCAAGTAGAAGAAAAGAAGTTT